TCCGTCTTTCTCTTCTCTTACTCCTGCCCTTTGCTCTTCCTTCCTTCCTTTATTTTATTTTATTTTTTTAACTCCCAAATGACTGTAGGACTGAATGCTACCAAGGAGACCGAGTTAAAATGTATTACTGAGATGCTATAAACATGGGTGCACATACATCATGTATTGTATACCTAAAATGTACTAATAAAAGAATTTAAGGAAAAAAAAGTATTACTGAGAATTACTGTGAGCCCTCCTGAGGGCACATATTACAATCTGTCCTGTGACAGATAGTATGTAATTAATCCAGGATCTTGGCAAAAAAGGCAGTTGATTTTGGAATGGATCTAAAAAAAGAAAGGGGTGACATGCTCTATAAAATTATTCTTTATAATATCTTCCATTTTCCTTAAATAAAAAAAATTTAAAACAGGCCAGTCTGTGAAAAAGACAGGCATCATATGGGGGTTAAAGCAGGGATTTGGGAAATAGACCGAGCTACTGGGGAACCATTTCTGTAAGTCAGTCATGGCCCACTTCCAACAATACATATAGCTTTTATAAACTTAAAAAATGAAAGTCTAACATACAAAGTGGTCCTCTGGACCATGACAAAAGTAAACACTCTTTGGACTGCTAACAGTACAGAGCAGCTTTGCCTGTTTCGCTTTATATGAATAACATAATAGAGTATGTATTCTCTGAAGGTTGGCTTCTTTTGCTCAAATTGTGTTTGTGAGCAGCGGTCCCAGCTGTAGTGCAGTGAGTTCTCATCTTTCAGAAAGCAGACATTTCTGCTGGAAGGCTGCTAGTAGTTCTGATGCCTGTGTATGTGTTAACAAATCTTATGTTACTCCTTTTTATAAGGAGAGGGGCAGGATGAAGGTGGCAGTTGTCCAGAGGCATGAAGGGAATGAAATAAAAAGTGTAGGAGAAAAACTATAGAAAGGACGGGTTGCTCTAGAATAACTTAAATTAAATAATAGAATTGCTGGGATCAGATTTGAAGTTAAATATCTGTAGGAATTTTTCAAGTCAACCTAACTTCCAGCACTTTGGCCATATCAATGTAAAATGTAGTAATAATATGCTCTTCTTTCTTCCATCTCTAGGTTGGTATCCTGTGTTAAATTGTTCTGGGCTTTTTAGCAGAGTCGCTAAAATCTTCCTAGATGGATAGTTTCATTTAAACATACGATGCACACACTATTAACCATACTACAACCTAGACAGGTATGATGACTATCTCTAGAAGAACTCACTTCATTAACCAAGAATGGACTGCAACACATTACAAAGTGTTTCAAATGCAATAGGATTACCCAGAAACATCTGGGCTCTCAGCTTTACATGAATATGTAAAAATCAGCTTTCAGACTCTGAAGGAAACTGGTTCCCAGAGAGCAGTGACAGATGTGGGAAGTAATCAAGCTTCCAGTGTGTGGCAGAGGAAAGCACAGTCCACTTCTGTTTAAATAATTTGCCCTTTAAAGAGATGCCCAAGGCCAGGGGCTTCTTTATAGAGGTAATGACTGAGAAATCAAGGTTTGCAACAGAAAATATAGATATCTGGGACTAACCTCGTGACACTCCCAAGACCACTCAGATCCTGGATGCTAGGAAAAAAATGGGAAGAGGAGGCCAAGAGGGATAGTTAGAGAGAGGAGGAGAGAAGGCACTCAGCCAGACCAACCCATGGTAAAACAACTGTAAAAGTGTTTCCAATAAAAAAAGAACAGAAGTGGAGTAGGGCAGGTGCTGTAGTTTGTATCTGAAGTGTAGCCTCAGAGGCTCATGTGTTAGAGGCCTGGTACCAGCTGGCGGCGCTACTGCGAGGTTGTGGAATCTTTAGCAGGGAGAGCCTAGTGGAAGGAAGTCAGGTCACTGGGGACCTGCACTTGAAGGGATATTGGGAGCCTTCCCCCCCTTAATCCCCCCACTTTGTTTCCCTGTCACCATGAGGTGACCAGGTTTATTCCATCACACGCTCCTTGCAATGGTGTACTGTCTTACCAGCAGATCAAAGTCACACGGCCAAGTGACCATGGCCTAAAGCCACCAAAACTGTGAGCCAAAATGAACATTTTCTCCATTTAAATTGATTTGTCACAGTGGTGGAAAGCAAACACAGTGAGCAACAATGGCAAGGAGAATTAGGGCCTGCGAAATCTGATTTTGGAACCACGAACTTCTACTCAAAATGTTATTTTATCAGATCTCAGTATTTTCACCTACAAAATGGGGAAATAAAACCAGTAATGGTTTTGCTCTTTGTAAATAACGTATCTCTCTATTCGTCTCTTATTCTGTCTGTCTATATCATACTCACATCTCTGTGTTAATAGGAAGACTCAACCCATTATCAATTTTGTTGATGGTTCTAATACAGGAGCCAAACTGCTCTCAAATAAATAAGCAGCTCAGTTTACCTAAATGTGAATTTTACCAACCCACCTATTTCTGACCTGAGACCATTCCCTCTAGGAGAGCTCATTATTATCCAGTTCACTTTGTCCTCATGTTCTCACTACAAAGTAAAAGGACATTTTTGATGTTAGGGACATGGCAGGTGGGCATTTGCCAACTCCACAGGCCCATGGTTAGGCAGCACATTTGCTGATGGAAAATACAATCTCCAAAGAATGCCCTTCTGGCTTGTGAGGATTATTTATAGCTTCTGACACACAAGGTTTCAAGCACAGAATGAATATCATTATTAATACTAACTCAAATGAACTCTACAGCAAGGAGGACTATAAAGTCTTCATAGGCTGTCCTTAAGAAATGTGGTCTCAGAGGACTCAACAATGGCACAGGAAGAATGAACAGAGAAATGGGAGTGAGTTGCTAAGACACACAGGGCGGCTTAGGGGTTTCCCTTTCTTTTTGAGGCATCAGTGGTCCTCTTTTCTGACAGCAGCATCTTCCCTTTCTAATTCTGTTTTTTTTTTTTTTCTGCAGGAAGAATATGGGTATAAAATCTCTGCGGAAACATCTGCTCAGAGACCTGTGGGCATCCACTCCTGTTTCACAGTGATAATCTTGTGTTCTTCACTTAAGTTCCAACCTCTTTAGACCTCACCTGGCCATTTTTTTGTTTTGGTACCGGGGATCCAACTCGGGGTCGTGTGCTTGCGCGGCAGGTGCCGGAGCCACTGAGCTAAATCCCCAGCCCCATAAGATGATACTTTATTAGTTGGGCTGATTTGCTTATACAGTATCTCATGAATGTGTTTGGCTTAGTCTTTGCTTATACTACATTCCTACCCTGCAAAGCCCACCCATCCTTCAAGACCCACATCTTGCCCCCTTGTCTCCAGGAGGCTTTTTTGAAAATAGCCTAAATATCCCTCAGAGAGCTCCCCCATTTCATCCGAACTCTGACTGCAACCAGAGAGTGTTTCATATGCTATTACTTAAGCGTAACATATTATCTCTTAATCTGTTATGTGTTGATTTCCCCAGACTTGCACACTTGACTCAGTTATCTAGCACAGTATACTCAGAATGGCAGTGGGGGCTCCTTTTTTTAATTTGTCCGCCCAGAAGAGGCTCTTTGTGCTGATTCACACAAAACCTGGCATAGGTCAGCTTGAACTCTCTCCTTCCCTTACAGTCCATTTCAGACATGTGTAGACCAGGTCAGCTACCATGGATAGGTACCAGTTATTCCCTAAGGAGAAATATCATGGTCTTCCAGCCCCTGAATGACACACACTGTTCATCAAACACTTTCTTCTAAGGCATCATCTTTTTTATACACAGAAAGCTGACACAGTTTTCTGGATGAAGCAGAATGAAAGACATACTCTAAAGGAAACTAAGGAAAAGCCACCATGATACAAATTAAATTCTGAGACAGATAATTCAGCAACAATTGTTAAAAGCTCTAGAAATGCCATCAGAGACAGAGTCTAGGAGAAAGGCCAGAGGGCCAGCTGAAGTAGCTGTAGATAATACTGAGGAGAAATTCAGTTCAGGGCAATGATTGCTGCCCAGGCAGACCGCACCAGGCCTGTCAATGAGGGAGAAGGGCAAAGACCAGAAAGGGCAAACAGATAAATTGCATCCACTGGGGCACACTTATCTGGTCTCTTTGCCTCGGTTTTGGTTCTTGAATAAGTCATGCAGGCTGATGTGCAGGCCACTTTGGAGAAAGAGGCTGCAGTCCCAGCCCACCATTTAGTGCTAGCCTTGACGTGGGGTGGGTCCTTCAGTCCAGTTTTCTTTTCAGCAAAAAGGAGATAACACTACTCTATTCACTTATTCATCTATTCAGGGCTTTCTGTGGGCCCAACACAACAGAACATAATGATGAGCATAAGATCTTTGCCCTTATAGGGCATCTAGATCATCTCCCCAGGTTGATGTTATGGAGGGCAAAAGTGTCTTTGAATGGAAAGCACTGCGACAAGGGAAAGGTATCTTTATCATCAGTGACTTTCATGCTTGATGTAGCTGTGTCACCTGGAAAGTCTTAATTTTTCTAGACTTTCTAGTCTCATCTAAAAAAACATGAGGGAATTTCCTGTTCCAAAGTTTAATTATTCCAAACACCGAAGTTAAGCTTTTTAGCTACTTAACTTTTTCACAGCTTTCTAAAGATTATTATGGATTAGTTCAGGAACAACAGAAAGATAGGATAACATAAAAAGCCCTGTGTACCACTTTCTCTATTTAAGAGAGAAAACATTATAAGGAGCTCTGTCTGGTGGCAATGCCCTTCCATCTGCAGGGTGCGTAACCATGATGAGTTTGGTGTTCACTATTCTGAATCCTGGCCCTCAAGGAATCCTGGTGTGTGCCTAGAAACAGTTTTCCAGTGAAGAGTTCTTCCTACCCTCGGGTGTTCCTGGTTCCTAATGAATGCCAGATCACGAGAGTGCACATCACAGGCAGCTCAAGAGCCAGCCTGTTCTCTCCCTGCCAGCTCTGCCTGCTGCTCGCCCAATGGACAGAATCAGAAAAACCTTAGGGTAGACACTGCCAGGTGCAAAAAGGAGCACAGTTTTGTTTACCTTGAGGGCCTTCTGTGCAGATTCACTAGACCCAATTGCAATCAGGTTGGGGCCAGCCATGCTGCAGAAACTCTTCAAATGCAAAGAATCAGCCACTGGGACTGTGGAGACTGCATAATCCTACACAGACAAATGGAAAAACAAGCAGTTTGGTATTGCACAGTAATTCTAAAACTGATTAAAAACCTGCCTGAACCATGCTTACTCCTTTGAAGGCTGCCAGACCCTGAATATCTGGAAGCAAAGCTGGGACCTGTTGGTTTTGGTTCTGGCAGTTAAATGAAGACTGCTTCTAAGAAAAAAGCAGAATTTCCTTCCAGATGTGTGGCTGCGTCAACACCTTTGCCAGCTATTTGCCTTACGGGGTGGATTACTCTGGGAGGGTGGTTTGAATACTTTGTGCAAACTGTGGCTCAGCTAGAGCCTCACATCCTCATGGGGAACAGAACTTCTGGGGGGTATACCTCTTCCGAAGCAGTCTGGCGAGCCAATCTACCGGTAATCAGTAGAAGGACCTTGAAGGAAGGTATATGCAAAACCTAGCACAGCTTCCAGTACACAGTAGGCACCCATGTGCAGGTGACACTTGAATCCAATTTGAAATGTCACACTTCATATCAAAATCAACTGGGTCTCCAGATATTCTTTACATCGCTTGATTATGTCTGTAATGAGTGCCGGGTGTTTGTATGGCTACATGGGAGAAAACAGAAGATTCTAACTTTGACAGTAGCTCTGGTGGTATGGTATGCTAATGAAGCCTAGTTATTGAGAAATTTGAATTTGATAGCTTTTAAAATTTCTAGCAGATGTATAAATAGTAGGAATTATTTTGCAAAACTGGTGAAATATAAGCACTATTACTCATGACATGTTGATTCAATAGGTCTATGAATATTTATTAAGTAATTACTCTGTGCCAGGCATAAATCATCCTTTACCTACCTTAAAAGTGTCAGCCAAGATTTCAGCACCTCGTTGATTTGTTCTTTTGGAAAGGCCCACAAAAAATTCTCTGCCTATAACAGATGTCATGGAACACAGTGAGTGTGTGGTCCCAGAGATGGCGAGCTGTTTTGTTTATCTATAAATAATGACCTTAAACCATCACACAGTTCTTTCCTGCCACAAAGGATGGTTCCATCACAAGACCCCTGCTCTCTTTACATAAAAACTGATTTCAAATGGTTTCCCTTAAAAATGAGCTTTCTCAAATTGATAGAGACAGAAAGGACGATAGTGGTTTTCGGGGACCGAGAGGAGGAGAGCCTGAGGGAGTCACTGTGTAATCCCACAACAACATGAAGATACTGCCTCTGAGTAGACTTCTAAAAATGGTTAAGTGATAAATCTTTTTTTTTTGAGACAGGGTCTTGATATATGGTTCAGGCTGGCCTTGAACTCACTATGTAGCCCAGGCTGGCCTCAAACTTGCAGTGATCCTTGAGAGCTGGGATTATAGGCCTGCACTACCACGCCCAGCTTTATGCTGTGTATATTCTACCACAGTAAGGCCGGGGATTTAGCTCAGTGGCACCCTGCCTGCCTCTCAAGTGCAAGGTCCTGAGTTCAATCCCCGGTACTGAAAAAAAAATTCTACCACAATAAAGAACTTTTAATTTAGGAAATAATAGAATTAAACACATTAATAATCTATAATGAGATAGCAATGACACATTAGCAGTATTACCTTTTTTCCCCCCTTTTGAAAGAATAACACTAGGTGTTCTTGATGAAGCTGGAGGTCTTTTCTTTTTTTTTTGGTACTGGGGATCGAACTCTGGACCTTGCACTTGTGAGGCAGGCGCCAGAACCACTGAGCTAAACCCCCAGCCCCTGGAGGTCTTTTCTTACATAGATCACGTAAGGCCTGAAGAAGCCACCTGGGTAAATGAGTTTAATATTGACCGACCTTCGAATCTGACCTCTAAGAGCTCTGTCTTTTAAATTATACATCTATTTATTTTAAATTAAAACATCAAGACATCTATCTACAAAATGAAAAAGTCTGGGAGGATCGAACTTTTTTACTATTTGACTTTTCTGAAATTCTGCAGTTTGTCTACTCAGAAAGAACAACTTTAGAAAAAATGGTCTCTAAATTATAGGGGAAAAATGTGGAGATTCTTATCTTTCCTTAATTTTTTGGTGAACTAAGCCTGTCAACAGATGAATGGATAAAAAAATGTACCATTGGGCTGGGAATTTAGCTCAGTGGTTCTGCTGCCTGCCTCACAAGTGCAAGGTCCCAAGTTTGATCCCCAGTACAACCCCCCAAATGTAGCATTTACCCACAATGGAGTACTTACTACTCTGCCATAAAGAAGAATAAATTTGAGTTCCTGTAGGAAAATGGATGCACCCTGAGACCATAATATTAAGTGAAGTAAATCAGACACACAAGGTTAAATATTGCATGGCTTCTGTTATACGAGAAACCCAATATATAAATAAAGCATAAAATAATAGAAATAAGAAAAAATAAAATATAAATCTTCATGTCAAAAAATAATTTTAAAAAATATTTTAAAAAAGAAATATGGAGGAAAGTATTAAAAAAGAAATCAGTTTCTTTTTGCTTTAGAGGATCATGGTAAAGTACAAGAAGAGAGCCATGTGGAAGAGATTCTTTGATAGATTTTACAAGTGCTTATTGTTACTCTTCATACTGTCCTTATAAATGAGGTGAATGACATGGGTCAGAGGATGTTATGACGTATTCCAAGGGCTTATGCTATTGGCAGACACAGTAATCTTTTGCGGATCACTGACAGTTTTTTTTTGGCAATGGTATAATTGTGCTGTCCATGAAGAAAATTCTACATAAAAATCAAAATTTAATTTACGGAAAATGTCTTTTACTTGACAAAAGTATTAGTTTACTTAAAAAGTCACTTACAGTTTTAAAAATCAGGTTTTATTAATCTTGGAAGATAAAAAGATTTATATATAACTTTAAAGAAAAACACTTAATGCATTTAGCTAGTTTTAACATTTTTATAGAGGGACAGGCATACTATTTCCATTTTAAAAAACTAAGGCACCATAGGAAAGTACAAAGATAACTATACACTACTTATCTTTGTGAATAGTTGGCCTTCTCTTTCTGGCAGTATTGTGGGCAAGATCCCTAAATTGCCTTGACACAAATAATTACAGTGCTTGAACTGAAATATTATTTTTTTATGTCTGATGTATCATTTTCTTCTATACCAATTTACTTCCTCCCCCTTTGTGATTCATTAATTTATAAGAGAAACCAGACCATTTATGCTTTTGAGTATCCTGCATTCTGGATTTGGGATTTGGCTGCTTACTTCCTAACATCATTTAACATTTAAATTGTCCTTTATATTGTCAGGACACTGGTAGTTTAATATAGGTGGTTAATTAGGTTCTCAATTTTGATAGGATTATTTCAGAGGTGGAGCTATTATTCTGTTTCTTCAATAAATGATTTAGTTTACTTGAAATATAATTCATGAAGGAAAGCTGGGCTAAATGAATCTTTCCTTTAGATATCCACTACCAGAGGTTGGTGTTCCAGCAACTTACAATAACGCCCAAGTTAAACAAATAATTATCCTATAAGTCTATATAATGAAAATTAGAAAAATTTAAAACTAAATGATAACAAAAACACTCATATCAAAACAAGGATTTTGCTGAAGTAGCACTTGGAGGGAAAGTTAAACAGCCTTAAATGTTGGCTTTAGAGAAGATAAAGGGTTCAAGATTAATGAGATAAAATCCCAAACTTATGATATGGGGGGAAAAGGAATAAAAACAAAAAAAAAAATGAAAGAAGGAAATAAAGAGAAAGGAAACATTCAAAACCAATAGTTGCTCCTTTGAAAAGATTAATAAAATTGGTACACTTCCGGCAAAAAGGAGAAAGAGAAAGGAAGAAATTAAGAAAGAAAGGGAAAAAGAAAAAAGAAAAAGAAAGAAAGGAGGAAAAGCAGGAAGAAAGGAGACAGGTACAAACATCACAAATGAAAAGAGAATATAGGTATAGATGCTGTGAAGTTTAAACAGACACAGTATTAAGAAGATATGAATAACTTTAAACCCAACATTTTATAAACTTAGATAAAACAGATAAAATCTTTAGAAAATGAAACTACTGAAACTCATCACAATGGACTCAGTAAATCTTAGTCAAATGATCACTAAAGAATTGAATCAGTTGAAAATTTCCCCACAAAGAAAGCATCGAGGCCTGTCAATGGATATGCTCTTTCAAAGTTCAAAGAAGACATAATTCAAATATTACTGATTCCAGACAATAGAAACATGGAAATATCCTCTAAAATATATTTTATAAAGCTAATATAACACTTTAACCAAAACCAGACAAGAATAACAAGAAAAAAAATAATAGGCCATGGCAATAAAAGTCCTAAAAATATTAGCAAACTAAATCCAACACTATATGAAAAAGTGAATAAATCATAATCAAGTTTGATTTCATTCCAGAGATCAAATATCAGAAAATCAATTAATGTAATTGATCTTATCAGTAGATTAAAGAAGGAATATCATATAATCATCTCACTGAAGCAAAAAAACCCTTTGCTCTAAACTGGAATTCATTTCCAAGTGTTGACCTTAGAGAAACTCTTGTTTATGGCCTCATGAAACACATGCTAGAATGAAGATAGGAGCATTGAAGATAATGACATACCAAACCCAGAAAACACCCAACATATACATCACCAGTAAAGTGACTAAATACCTTGTGGGGTGTTCCCCCACAGAGTACTTACTCAGCATTGAAAATGAACTACAACTATACACATCAACTTAGGTCAAAAGAAGAAGAATCACACAGGAGTTGATACAGTGGGATGCTAATAAGGTGAAGTTCTAACAGAAGCCCAACTAAGCCACATGTAGCTTAGAAATACATATACTGAGATAAACGTCAAAGAAAGGCCAGGCAGTGATTAACACAGAAGTCAGGGCAGCATTTTCCTGAGGCTGGGCGGAAGGAGAGATTGGAACAGAGGATCGTAAGTGATTTCTACCCACCTGGCAATATTGTTTCAAAAGTCACGGGTGAGCACCAAGAGTTCATTTTATTACTGGTCTTTGAATGGTGTACAGACATCTTATCTCTCAGTTGTATGTACTCTGTACTTCACAGAAATACATTTTTTAAAAGTAGAGGTGAGTTGATACTGCCTAGTTAACAGAAATAGCATGAAAACAATCTTGGCCAGTAGCTGCTTGCCTGATTGACAGATTTCCCAGCAGGAACTGGAATTGGAAAGCAGCTCTTTCTGTCCATTTCCTCATAAATTATTAATGAACCTCCCAGTTACAGAAGGAAGAGGGCACTGAGCACAAAGAAAGTGGTACAGACTTTGTTTCTTATCTAACTGCCTGATCCAAAAATTGAGTGGTAATAGTGGCATAACAAAGTGAAAGTAATTAATGCCCCCCAATGACTGTACATTTAGAAATGGTTAACATGGCAAATTTTATGTATGTTTTACCAAAAGAAAAAGAAAGAGAGAAAGAAAGTAAGGAAGAAAGAAAGAAAGTAGGAAAGAGAAAGCAGGAGCAGACATTAGGTACGAATGACGTTCCGAACAGAGATCCCAATACTGTCTCAGTTTTAAATAAAATAACTATTAAGATGTTAGCTTATACAATGAATATACCAAGTAAAATGGTCTACAGATAGTATCAAAAAGTCTACAGACAGTATCAAAGGCAAGCCTCAATGCTTGATGCCTAATTAGATGCTGGGATAAAAACATCAGGTTTCAAATGTTGTGGAAAGATCTTTGACCAAAAGAAGAGACTCCTGGTGTAAGCAGTGTCTTCACACTGAGGAGATTTCAGGACATGGATGCAGTTCAGCTGTTAAGATAACTAAATGACTGAACACAGCTTGGTTATGCTATATTTCAGAGGCAATTTGTATCTGCTTACTGTAAGTTACTGGATTTGTTATATGGCTATATTTTGATAAAAAAGAGTTGTATTATAAGGAAGTGCAATGTATACATTTAGCTTTTCACAAAAACCTATTTTCTAACAGAAACAGGCTATTGTTCTGGGCTGTCAAAAACAATGGACATGCCATCAATGGCAAACAGAAAAAATATTCTAAGAGGAAATTTACAGGGCAGATTTGATGAATGCCTGGGCAAAGCCAGACTTGAGAATGCAGCGTAGGCCTTCCTGACCTTCTGTGAGCCTTCTGTGTCCTGAGGGCTCAGTGTGCCTAAAGACAAACTCTGGAGGCAGGGCCACTGCCTGTGACAGTGGCAGAACACAGCGCCAGGACTCCTACTCAGATGACCCATAGTTAGATGGGCTCCCTGGAGCTGGGCCACATGAAGGTTCCACCACAGGCACAGACACTGAGTGAAATGTCCTCCAGGAGCATTAATTATACCCACATGTAAGCGACACAAGGCATTATTGTTATATTAAGACCATGACAATCATGCTTTGGCTATATAAACTGAATTCAATTTAAATTCACATTGGCTGAGATATTAGACTTCCAAGAAGCCTCAGGCTTTCAGTGAGCCACCTGGGACTACTTCCCTAGCCCCTGAGGACCAGCTTCTGCTGGTTGGGCTACATTGGTGAAACAAATATTTGTTCTCTGACATTTAGGGGAAAACAAACTCTTACTATAAATTAAAATTACTATTGATTATCTTGCTCCTGAGTATAACCACAGTGAATCTGGGGATCCAGATTTTACATATGATCAAAAAGAGTTGGAAAGGTTAAATGCTAAAATTACTATTTCTCTAGTAGCCACATTACACCAATTGTAAAAACTGATTCTAGTTAGATCAATAATATTACCAGTTACAATTTTGTTGAGTTCTGCTATTACTCATCTGGCATTAAGCCAAGTCAATCTGCATAGAAAATTATTTGAATTCATCTTGCCATCTGGAAAGAAAATTGTTGGTAAACGATACTAATCTTGAATTAAGAATTCTTTAAATACAAACCAGATAGACTGTCACAGAATGGAAAATTATGCAACTCATAAACAACTGTAGAAAAGCACAGAAGCAAGATATGTACAAATAATGTACATATTGAAAATATTCTTGTAAAGAATGTACAAATATATGCATATAAAAGTACTGAGAGAATATAGCTAAATATCGAAGTGATTATCTGTGAATGGAAGGTCATTGTGGTTTTCTATATTTTCCAAATTCTCTGCATTTATTATCTATTTCAGTAATGAAAAAAAAACCTGCAGTGAAACAAGTGAGTATGAGTCAGGTATTAGTAATATGTTGGATAGAAAAAAACAAACACAACTATACCTGTGAATAAGACATCTCCTCCATCTAAGGTTGCATTTTCATCTTTCATTTCTACTATATTGAGTTGAAGTTTTTCTAAAGCTTCTTTCATCATGTCAACCTGTTAAAAATAAAATGATTTATATTAATAGTGTACAATTTCCTAATAAGAAAACTGTCTAAAACTTCTGAGCACTAAATCACACTCCCATGTACACATATGCACACACACATAACACATTCATACTTGCACACACCCTTGTAATATGGGCAAAATCAGACGTGATCATTCCCAAGAGAAGAAATTATCTGGGAGACATTGCCCATTTTGTTTGCTTCTTGTCTAAAGTTGAGTCAATATTATAGCCCATTTTGTGTAGAGAGGCTAACTAGTTAGGGCACTGTTGGAACCTGACCAGTTATGGTGCACAAATGATGGAAGGTAGGAGGCATAACACCCAGTCCTCCTGTCCTTGCAAGACTGAACTTTAAACCTAAGTCAATCAGCCAGAATTACACACAGAGACAAATAATGGAAGGAATATCAATACTCGGTAACTTGAAATTTCAACTTATATTATAGTCACTGTTTCCTTTCTTTTTCTTTGTTTTTGGTTTCTTTGAGACAGGGTCTTGCTATGTAGTTCAGATGGGGCTTGAACTCACTATGTAGCCCAGGCTGGCCTTGAACTTGCTGCGATCCACCAGCCTCAGCCTCATGAGTGCTGGGATTACAGGTGTGTGTGCCACCACGCCCAGCTACAGTCATGGTTCAAATCAAATATTTTCTAAAATGCCACAACATCCAAGTCCTCTCTGTAAATCGAAACTGATGACATAGCAAATGCCCTTTGAAGCTTACAATTGAATTCAAGTTCTTCCAGCAGCTCAACAAAACAATTTAAGTATTTCAAAATGTCTGTTAAACCTTTAACACGATAAAGACATCCATTGAGAAGACATGAATAGGGCTATGAGAAAAACAAGAGATCACATCACACTAGGCAAAGCAGACAATCCCGCCAAAATATAGTATGCAGAGGACAGAGTGAACTGTCAATGAGGAGACATCAATATAGCAGTCACTTCTGAAGTAATAAAAATGTGGAAAAGCTTTGACAACAAGGCTGACACTCATGCATTCAAAACATTAAAAAGGACACAAAGTAAAATAAATATATCATCTCATCCTTGTCTTGGAACTCATATTAAAATTCCACAAACCAGAGTGACTCAGAACAATAAAAGTTATTTCCATGGACAAATTGTCTTAACGTTGTAGTAAATACATCCAGTGACTTCTTTTAAGAGTAGCATAGGTTTTCCTATGCAACAGGAAGTGGAATCATTGCTATAGCATAAAAAGGGGGCAGAACAACATTTACCATGACTGGTTGGGCTACTGTGAACCTAGGAAAACACACAACTGTGCCTCTGGCATCTGTTTTCTATGTCTATGGAAAACTCATTGAGCTTACAGAGAGAGCAAGAGAGTTGTGTTTCCTTTTGATTCTATTGCTAGTGCTACTGCTTCTATTATAACAATGTTTTGCAGATTACTAGGAAGTCTGTAACACTGATTCTGGGCTGAAAAGTTTATCTGAAGCTATGTAACACCTCACTCAGGAACTTTATTCAACTCTTAAGAACTAGCAGCAGGGGCTGGGGATTTAGCTCAATGGTTCCACCGCCTACCTTGCAAACGGAAGGACCCGAGTTCGATCCCCAGTACCAAAAAAAAAAGAACTAGTAGAAGTAGGGAGGTTACTATATACCAGTTTCAGAAATGCTATACATGTATTTTAAGGTCCTATGTCTTTCAAAATAAAGTTTTTGAGGATAAAATGTTTGTGGTTTCTTGAAAGTGAAAACAGCTGCACTGACGTTCTGTGCAAGGGTAGTACTTTAATAAAAATATTCAGTCACATCTACGTAACCAAAGTCATCAGGATAGGTGTACACCACAAATATTGATGGTACCACACAACTTTCAGAGTTAAGCGCATGGACAAGATTTTTAAAATGTTGAAACATCGAGTAAACGTTTTTGAGAAATGCAGGACCATATGGCATCAAACTGGCAGAAAGCTCAGGGAGATTTCTGGAGCAGAAACAAGGGGGGCTGCACCCCACAGGCTGCCACTGAGAACTGCATTCAACTGACACTGAGTTCAGCAAAGCGCACCAACCTGGCTGTAAACAGGCCCAGCACGGCCCTGACACCTGGCCCCAAAGCAAGCCAGCTATTCAGAAAGTGAGAACATTAAATATAACTACAGAAGTGGGAACTTTTGCAGGACAAAATCCAAACCATGAAGCTTCAAGAAACTACCCATTCTGTGGTTATATAGCCACGGTTAATGTTGACTTAAATAACTTTCAAGAGGAAAAATATAATCAACAATACACCTACCTTTCCAGAGACACTAACCCTGCAGAGTGGAACTTTGTGTTACTCAGAGAAACATCAGAACAAACAGTATTCACTCCAAAAGCTGAGCTGAGTGGGTCATTTTAGCCCATGAAATGAGAAATAAAAAGGATAAATTAGAGAAACCACCTCAATTAATGCAAACCTCGGAGTACAAGTAATTTTCATATTCTAAAGATTTACAAGACCCTTCCTCCTCTTTTCATGCTTCATGCACTGTGATTTCATTTTTTTGCTCTATATTCATATTTAGTTTTGCCTCATCTTTTTTCTTCCTACTCTTTACCCCAGATTCCTTTCTTGGCCACAGTGGCTTCAGGCCACCTCTGCTGCTTCCATTCATTCAACCCATCCCTCTTTCTCCTTATAGGCGGTTACAGTCTCAAGTAATTACAGTATCTCTCCAAGTAATTACAGTGTCTCCTCCCTCCCTCCCATCTTCTTTCCTTTCTTTCTGGAGTATTAATGTTAAAAAATGTAGAGATATTGGGGTTACACATTCACAGTCACTATTGTAGGGAAATCTAGAGCATGGTATTGTTATTAAGGGCCTGGGGCTCAATCCCAGTTTTGCCATTTACTAGCCAAGTGACCTTAAGTTCTTTAAAATTCCAAGCCTCAGTTGGCTCATCTTTAAAGTGGGCATTTATTCATAATAGTACCAACTTGTTAGGCTCTTATCACATACAAATGTAAATGCTCAATAAATATTAGATACAACTTTTATTATTTTGATGAAATACCAGCTTGTGTGCACACAGCGACAGATACTTGTGCTATGAAAGTGACCCACAACTAAAGAGCTGTTGCTTTTTCTTACATTTGGATAAGCTTCTTATGTTTTACCACCCTACGACAGATCCCATCTGCTTTTCAGTAAACTAAAATTGCAGCCTTTTCTGCAAAGCCAATGTAAAGTTAGAACACTACATGGAGAACACATTTAAATATAAAACATTCAAATTTGATTTCCTTCCAGCTCCAGGAAGCAGGATGAGGTCTATTTCTTTCTTTCTTTCTTTTTTTTTTTTGGTACCGGGGATCAAACTCAGGACCTTGCGCTTCCGAGGCAGGTGGCAGAACCACTGAGCTAAATCCCTGGCCCAAGGTCTATTTCTTGTATAATCTCTGCTTTGAGCTCGTCCCATGCAAGTACTATGGAAGGTGGAGGGGAGCCTATCTGGTGGTTGTCGTACAGGACTCAAAAATCAGCCAAGGCGATACAGCCTGAGTGGATTACTAGGGCCACTCGAAACGTCCCAGTTTGTCTAAAGAATTCATTCTCTTGCTCGCTGTTCAGTCTCCTTCCTTATCTTCCCCATTCTCCTCTCTTCCTACCTTTCATGGCTTTCATTTCTGTTTCCTCATTTGTCCCATCAAATTCACACCATCATTCTGTCTTCTCACTTTGTTCCTCATGAGCCATGGTGAGTGGAAAGTACCGAGGATTTGAACACTGACTCTATCACATACAAGCATAAGCGATGTAAGCAGGAATGAACTAAGTTCTAACATTTTCTAAGATAATTATGTCAGTAACAAATAAGGTAATGCATGTAAAGAATCTAACCCAGTTCCTGGCACATTGTGCTTAAAATCAGTAGTTGATGCTGTAAATATTATTTTGCCCTAAAACAGCTCAGTTCTTGTTTTGGATTCTGGCTACATTTGAAAAAGAAAGAAAAGATTAAAACATACCACTTTCAGCACTAAATAAAACATCTTTTAAACCAACTCTTTTATTTCTTACAAAAATCTCCCTCAAAGTTAAAAACAAATCAAAACCCCTAAATCTTTGCTTAATTTAAAGCAAAACAAATCAAATATAAAAGCTTATAGTTTCAGTAGGAAGTTATATTTATAGTAGCTTGCCATAGTACTGTAATTAACTTAGTATTCCTTTATTTAAAGGCAATATTTCCCAGTTGACCTTGTCCAAAGTGGACTTTTGCTGTGCATTTTCAACAAGGCCATTTTGAATTTTCACCCCTTCACTCAGGATGCTGGGTGACCATGAGGGCTGATGAACAGTTGTGGTTTGTGTCCAAGCCACTTTCCTTAAGCTGCTTCTGCTCAACGGAATGCCAGATGTTACAGCTACCAATGAGCCCCTTGGAGTTGGCTCATTTGTGCCTGACATGTCTTAGTCACCCACAGTTTTGCCATGTCCTGGAAACTCTTCTGTCACCACCATTACCACCTGCTACCGTTATGGTCTGAAATGTCTCCAAAGGCCTGTGCGTTAGAGGCCTGGTCCGCAGCTTGTGGGGCTCTTGTGCACCACAAGAGCGTTGTGACCTTTAGGAGGCGGGGCCTAGTGGGAGTTAGGTCACTGGGGACCTATCCTTGAAGGGGATATGGGAACCCTGGCCCCTCCTCGTCTCAGCCATGGGGTAAGAATCCTGCTCTACTTCATGCTTCTGCCATGATATGCTGCTTTAACATAGGCTCAAAACAACAGGAAAAATGGTCATGCACTGGACCCTCTGAAACCATGGCCCAAAGAAACCTTTTCTGGTTGTAAGTTGATTATCTCAGGTCTTTATTATAGCAATGGCAAGCTGACTAACACACCATTTTCAATGCCCACTTGCATGTTTTTAACACCCACTTATATTTTCCAAGTCCTTTTATAATTTCTCACATTATATGAGCTTTTAAAAGTACACTGTCATTCTATCTAAAGAGTC